CGGTCACGGTAGCCGAGCGGTCTAAGGCATGTACTGTCTTCGCTCGCTTGGAAAGCGGGATCGTGGGTTCGAATCCCACTCAGGGCATGGATATTTAGTTTGTGTGTGTGCGTTTTTCTGTGTTTGTGTACAGGTAGAGGCCTTGCGACGAGCTGATCACTCGCTCAAGGAGTCGTACCGAATGTGTAAGATCTAGAAAAACCGAAGTGAACGGAGAAGTTCATGGAGGCCGAAACATGTAGTGTAGAAAAGAACAAGATCAAAGACATATAATATATATTGTTTGCACTTGGGACGGAGTTGTATCATTTATCGTATAGAGTGCAACAGGATGCTGAGATATAATATTGTAAGATATAATATCATGGAGGTAGGCCTAGGCCCACTGGGGGTGTAGTGCCAATGTGGGGGGGGGAATACATATATTGGACTTGATGTGACTATATGGGCACATATTTGAAAACTGTCCCACATACAAATTTGACCTCAGGGAATTTTATGTCTCAAATTTTAAAGCTACATATGAGGAATATAATAGCAGAAAATTATTTCAGCAGCATAGAGAAACACGAGTTTCTAGGGGATGGAGAGAGGCACGGAGGGATGAAATAGGATGGTGATACATCAACACACGTCATAGTAACTGATCCCCCAACATCACCACGTGACCAGAGAAGCTTGATGAATTCCAACAGCCCTCTCTCCCACTCCAGCTTGTGAAACTCATTGCTCTGCTACTGAAGCGAAGATCCAGTGTCTAATCCTGGTCCCATCCATCAAAACGAGCCTCCACAGCGCCAAAAGATCTGCTATTTCTGAGGGGGATGGTCTTAAAAGAAAGAGGGTTGGGAATTTGCAGAACAGAAATTTAAGAACGATGAAATTTCATATTGATGCAATTTGTTATCTAGATGTAAGTTCACAGTGACAGGTTTCGTCGACAGTCGCCTGTAATATGAATGCAAAACTGAACGTGTGTGGAGCCATCTAGCCTCTTAAGGCTACTTCATCCATAAACGTGCTACTTAGACTGTCGCATTTTCCCTCGCTATAAATTACAGTATGATGTACTCAAATATTACGTATGTAATTTTATTGTATATATGTGTGTGTGTAATTATTTCTAAGTAACCTAAGACGTGTTTGGACAATTTTAGGGTTCGTATTATCTTCAGGCTCTCTTTATGTGTGTACGTAAACATACCTCACTTCTCCCATGAAGATTTGTAATTCAACTTGGGTAAAATAATTTTAATATAAATTATACACAAACAATTAAAAGTTAATGTTATGTCACTTTCTTTCATACTTAGTAAATACAAGACTTAATAAAGTAGTAAACAGTAACGGCGTGATTATGGATGCTGAAGAATCTCCATTGTTAAAATTCATTACCACCAAGTTCGATTTAAATCTGTCACGTAATTAGAACCCTGATATATGCGGACGAAAAATAGACCGTCGAACACGACGAAACCAATGGGTGGGTTTCGATTTCTCTCCAAAACGCAACCCAGAATACTTCGGTGCTCTTTCAATGGGGTAAAGGAGCGAGGAGGAAATGCAAGCTTCATATCCATCCAGTACAATAATGGAGCTATTCCTCAACTCCCTAATACGCCTTCATGACAAGATGCTTAATTCATTAATCACAGGGACAACTTTACCTTAAACTTACGGTTGAAAATGGAGAACAGAATAATATTTTTAGCTGAGTTTTTCGTCTGTAGAACTTCGTCTCTTACGTTGAAAAAAAACACACTAATTATAAATATATGAAAAAATATCTTAAATAGCGAAAAACATCATGAAATATACGTTCACGTATAACTAGTGAAAACTAGATTACTATGTAAGATTTGAGGCTTTCACGGCGGTGACTATGAAGAAAGCAGTCTTCTGGGATTTGGCACCGTGTATATGTGGTGCAAGCGACAACACCGTGAGAAACGGTACCGTTTCTCACGGTGTTGTCGCTTGCAGAATTCTTATACTTTTTCTTCTACCCTGAAGATGGGGGCGATACGTTCCTCCGAAACGTCGGTTAACACCACATATACACGGTGCCAAATCCCAGAAGACTGCTTTCTTCATAGATTACTATGAGTTACAAATATAGATCGATCGGTGATGACACGCAATACATACAAAATTTTGGTGTGTAAACCTCCTGCAGAGCTCTCATTTTTTGACCAAGAAAAGGTATGGAAGATAATTTTAATAGGGCCAATGGATTTCAGGAGTTGGAGTGTAAGATAGACACGCGGATAGAAACAGATCGGGAAGGCACCAAGTACAGAGCTACGTTATTGGCGGTGCTGCAGTTTTGGATTCTACCACCAGAGTTCGTTAGTTTTGATAGTTATCTGTCTCCTAATCATTCATTGTTTAAGTAAGTTTTACATTTAATAATCAAGTGAAATATACATACAGGGATGTACTTCATCCAGCGAAATTACTTATATAGAATATTTTTAAAGTTTCTTTCACTAAAATTATGGAGCTCTTATTCGTACTCCACTGGTTGACGACGGCATTTTTCTTCGAGATGGCGAGAGGAGACTTACTGACTGTCTCTCTCTCTCACACACACACACACACACACACAGAATGACTAATATCATCTGGCCTTAAACTGATTAGCTGCTTGCAAGTTTTTGGTACACTACTCTCCATTCAGGTCCTTTCATAGACATAATTCGTAGAATGAATTTTTACTGAGTAAGTAAGTAAAGGCTTCAATATATTATTAGTAAGAAAATTACCGATGTTAGAGAAAATGTCAAGATAAGGTGTTATAGTATTAAATTATGATGTGCAACATCTTAAAGGCAAAGAGTCTGTGTCGGACATTAACTTGTCAGAAAAGACATTGACTGTCAGAATGACTGAGATGATAATATGAGACCGGGTGTGTTCATGGGAGTAGTTCGCCATGATTACTGTCCACAACACTTCGATCAAAAATTACAGAGTTCTTGGAATTCCGCAAAAAAGTGATAAACAGAATAGAGTTAAGGATGTTCCTTGTTGCCCTGTGTTATAGTCAATGTTATGTAAAAGTAAGGTTAACCCTCCGCTTAAGCAGACTACTTTGGAAACGGGTTAAGTTTTGTGTATTCTAAAATTATTTACGAAATTGAGACGAACGCTGAGCATCATAATATGGATGTCTTTTACTCCGTAATAAAGAAACCCTAAATCCGTTGGATGTCGAGACTAAAATAGTTTGGGTTTTCTAAAACTATGTGCAGTTAACTGTTAATGAAGGTAAATTTATGGCCATATGTGGAAGTGAGCAGTAAAGTTTTGTGAGCGTGAAATATATTATAACAAGTTAAAGTTATTCCTGTAATAGGCCATGGAAGCCCATAGGTTGGTGAGACGTTAAGGGTCCCACATTATCTAGACAATGGGCTCACAGATGGCGGTAAGGTTGTCAGCCTTATGCGCCGGCCGTCCTTTGTCCCTCAGGAAGATTCCTGGTACTCATTTCTGTTAGGCTGAGTCGACCCCAGGGCCATAGTGCAGCTGCAAGGACGAAGTCAATTAAAAAATCTAGTGACCTCAGAGAATAGAACCCGCGATCTTCCGACTTGCAGCATAGTGCCTCAACCAACTACGCTACCGCGTACCACAATATACTCTATTATCATGCTTCCTGTATACTTAGAAGTGGGAAAGTGTCTATCAGCTTCGATTTTGATCACCTAAATTCCAAGTAACTTACATTGTAGAGAGACAAATGCACAATGTAGTTCTGAAGTCAACAGTGAATGACATGTAAAATTTTTACTCTTCCTTCGAGAATCCAGTTACTATCAAACAACATGGTATACACACTGTAAATTTAAACTGCAGAAGACAAGTATCAGTGACTGTCACTCAGAATTACAAGGTACCCAAATCACAGCCTTAGTGTCTCATACTACCCGTTCCAGAATTAAACAGGATAAGTTTATTTTGCAAGTGCACACTGTATGTATTATGACAACGTCCGAAATACACGCAGGCAACAATAGAAAAGGTATTGCAAGAGGTGTTTTCTATGTGGTCCGCGCCATGACCATTGCTAAGCAACTGTTCGATAAACACATTCCCGCAGTTAGGTTATCAACAGTAGAAAGATATCCACTGATACGCAACGGGCTAATAAACACGCATTCTTGATAACAGGAGGAGTGTTTTCCGTGGGGTGAGTGCCGAGGAATTATAAGAGCGTGTCCTAGTGATTTATGAAGTGGGTAGATTAGCAACAGCGCTATAATTGTGATTACGAGAGATGGTAAAAGGTGATGGTAAATCCGATCAGCCAATCCAGAACCTGTTATTTTTCGTCATGGAGCCATAAACTTATGACAGTATTTAACTCTGATGTCTGATGTCCTTACAACATAAATTAGAAGGAAGATATCCTTTCATTTCCGCTGTAACGCAGTTTACGACATCAAAACTGGAAGACGACCCATATGCCTGTAGTAACTTACTTCAAGGACACAGAACAAGCAACCCTACTTATTGATTCAGTGCTCACCGCTGTTTTATTTGTAGGTTGTTTAATGTCTGCAACCATTTTACGCCTTGCAACGCATAAGAAGTTGTTATGGATGATTATGAGGTACGAATTTGAACGGAAGAGCTGTGTCATATTTAAAGGTAGGTTTACTGTCTCGAAGTTAACCTAAAGACACTGAGTAAACCATGAATTATATCAGAGTACCCAACTCGGATGAGATTCCAGACCAATTCAAGCCCACAGCATTACTTTTCTAACAAACTCTTTGATGCAAAATGCACGAGGGAGTAACGTCCATTGTTCCGTTCATAATTCTGTGGGTAATTGAACTTATAGTTTATCTTTTTATAGTATTAAAGCGATTTCGTTGTGCACGCAGTACCCCTCTCACTCGTGAGTACCTGCTTCAGAGACAAGAAGCAAGAAACGTTTAGAAAATTCAAGGTGAGGAGCAGCCTTAATTTGAGAACTCCGAAAGCTCTACCTCAATGCTGACGGACCATGGAGACACCGGCAGTTATTCCCCAGGACGGAACCGCCAGCACACAGAAACACCTTCATTTCTCATCAACCTGAACTAAACATCCACCATTACACCACCTGCAGGGCGATACACCAAGCCAAATTCGTCAGCACTGTTAAAAAAAGAACAGTTTGCCACTTAAAACCCGTTCCATCACATTGCACACAGCGGCTACGTCCAGCTCCGGTGCGAACAGCATCTAGACTACACTGCAAGGAATGGCCGCCAAGTTCCAAAGCCGGGGCGCGAAACAATGCTGTGTGACTTTTGCATGCAAAACCATAGTATAAGGCACTCCTTATGACGAACTTTACGTCATTCATGGAGACGACGAAGCAAAAGAGAGATGCTTTTTATTCCGTTCATTTTGAATGATGTTGAAAAGCAGAATGCGACCACGGTTGAATGGTGAACATGCTGCTGGCGCTATTTCTACTACAATAAATATACTGTATTCCACAGGTCCTTTTCTCGTTGAGACAAAGAAGCATAATCGCTGAGCTGCTGTGGAAGAAAAGGGCACAGCGGCAAGAAAATGCCTTTCTTCTCCTCCCCCCCCCTTTTCCCACCTCAGTTTTCCCACCCCTACGTTTGCTCCATTCAAGAGTACCAACAATATACGGACATATCACAATGGCGGCAAATTATTTTCAATCTAAACATCCCCTTTCAGTATATAAATATGAAAGGACAGACCTGAGAAGCTTCAGCAAACGGTTTCAGTGCGAATATAAAATTTACGAAACACAACTGTTAATATAATATTTAATATTAGATGACATGTCATAGACGATTCTTTCAATTTTAAATTCTGATGATAATTATTGGATGATAACTTTATTTTGATGACCACATAACTGTGGTATTTAAATAATAAAATTCATACTTTGTCGTTTCATCTTAAAGTAATATTCTATTTTGAACATGGAAATCGTATTAAATATTTTAAACTATTAATTTCGGAGTTCTTTTTCTACCCCTTCCCAGTTTTTCTTTTAGTTTTTGGGGTGGAGCGAGACTGAGACTTGGTACATGGGCCACTAACTGGACTATTGTACCCGTCTCAGATGATAAATGACGAATGTGGAACAGTCGGTGGAATGAGAATTGGCAGGGGAAACAGGAGAACTCAGAGAAAATTTGCTTCAATGACACAAATGCTACATGACTTGACCTGGGCTCGAACCCTGACCGCCGCATTGGGAAGCCAGCGACTGACCGCCTGAGCTATGGTACGGTCACTACACCTTCCTAAATGACACACTTCAATACCGTAGCAAGTGCAGGCAAATGAAATGAGCTGGATTCAGAAACACCTTCTCAATTCTCAGTCAGATCATCAAGGACTAAACACACACAGAAAATAATGAAATAAAGAGAAACCTAGTAAGAGCTTCCAGTAAGTTTGCAACTAGCTACTGGATTGCCAAGGTCCCTAGAATGACCTCGATCGTTTCCCTTGTTTCCTACAATCTCTCTTCTCAAGGTCACTGTCATTGTAGGTGCGGGAAAGATAAGTGCATTACACTTTCATACTTCTCCAAGAAAGTTGCAGCATTCAGAATCACCCTACCACATTTCACTGAAAACTATGTTGTAAACTGTAAAATATTTCTTGAATCTGTGAGGAGCCTATAACCCCAAGTTTTCAATTTCTTGGAAAAGCCTACAACTGTTTCAGAACATATCTCAAAATTGAATGTACAAGTCCGAAAACTGGCAAATATATACACCTTGTTTAATTGTTAAAACCTATTAATTTTGGCAGCAGGTTGTCTTTATTATGTGCAGCGTATGATTTTCAGAATACGACTTTTCCTAAATATGATTTTTGTAATGGAAAAGAAATAATTCCCACGGGGAGGAATTGAATTTTTAAATATTATATTCTTGATAGTACGGAGCATCAGAAAACGGATATTCTCAATGCTGGCTGGAAGAGAGTATGCATTCGGAAAGTTCTGCGATCAGCCATTTCGATAGCGTTCTTGGTTTTCATCTGTTTTCAAGTGTTGGTTAAAAAATTTCGAGAGCTACTACACTCTTCTCGAGCAGCCCTCCTTATATGCATTCACCAAACTTACACTTCTCTCCTGTCACAGCCATCAAATTATTTTTCCAAATAATAGAATTTCAGGCTCATTCTGAAAATAAAAATTCCGCTACCCGCATATCATCTTCTAACCAATCTAACGCCTTCGTTTTGAGACTTCTCGTCAGATAATTATGTCAGCACAAAGAGGGGTTAGGAGATGGACGGTAAAGGGATACAGTCATAGAGCCTGAAATTAATTTAGGGATTGATTTCAATATTACGGCCTATATTTAATTTTATTCCTCTACTGAACTGGTTAGAACAGTCTGGTCGCCTCATGTCAACAAAATGTCGTCAGTCTGTATCCTATTTGCCGAGAACCTCTTAAAGAGAACTTGATGAATATTTCACTTTTCGAAACATAACCTCAGACTACGAATGATGAAGCGAAATCGGAACTTTAATTTACTGGAATAACCGCGCGATATCTCGTTCTGTATTGTTTTTCTTTATCTCATTTTTTTTTTCCTTGGCACTACAGCCCCAGTGGGCCTAGGCCTACCTCCATGAACTTCTCCGTTCACATTTATCTCATTACTAACACAAATTAATATAAAATAAAGATTATATTTTCAAAAAAAGGACAAAGTTATCCCCATAACCGGCCGTGAAGGCCCATAGGGTTCTGAGAAGATGAGTCTCCCAAATCTTCTTGATAATCGGCTCACAGATGGTGGTAAGGTTATCAGCCTTACGCGCTGGCCGCCTTTTATCACCCAGGAAGATTCCTGATACTCATTTCTGTTAGAGGCTGAGTCGACCCCAGGACCATTTCGCTTAGTGGCGGGTGGAGTCCAACTGGGTCCACTCGGCACGGCGGCCCCTGATTGGCCTATTGTAGCCTGCCCCGGGTGATTATGATGATGGAAAATTTGGTGGAATGAAGATTGGCAGGGGAAACCGAAGTACTCGGAGAAAACCCGCCTCAGCGCCATTTTGTTCACCACAAATCCCATTTGACCAGATCCGGGATCGAAACCTGGTCGCCGCGGTTGGAAGCCAGCGACTAACCGCTTGAGCTATGGCGCGGACACCCCAGGGCCATAGTGCGTCTGGAAGGATTACGTAAATTGAAAAAAATCACCTCCTCGGGTCTCGAACCCGAGACCTTCCGGCTTGTAGAATAGTGCTACCGCGTTATTTTCAAAGAGTACTTTTTTACGAATGTTGCCAAAAATGTAATAAAGCTGTGATTTAGACTAAGGGATTTTTAATTTTTAATCTCGAATATTGTTGATAAATGATAATATATATCTTACAGTTATTTCTGGAGTTCTGGAAAAACCAAATCTAATATTTCGTTATATACGCGATAATACTATATCAGAAACTAAAGAACAGAAGGAAAAAATGAGGGCTGGGATTAAGAAAGAGAGAAATATTTAAAGACACTAAGGTGGAAAGGAACAGACGAGCCGGGATAGGGCAGTCGGTATAGAGACTGGCTATGGGCTGGATGACTGGGGGGTCGGAGTTCCGGTAGGGTAAAGAACTTCCTCTTCTCCACATTTTTCAGACCGGCTCTGGGGTCCACCCAACCCCCTATCCAATGGATACCAATGGCTCTTTCATCGGTGGTAAATCGGCCGGTGCGTGAAGATGACCGCTCATCTCCAACTACTGACGAGGTCAAGAACAGTGGATCTATCTATCCACTCCCCCATACGCCTTCATGGCTTAGTGCTTAATTAGTTAAGCGCGGGGACAACTTTACTAAAGGAGAAAGAAACAAAGGGAAAGAGAAATAATAACAAATGAAAAACTGTAGAGAGAAAGCCCGAAAGAAATACAAGAAAACTCATAAGTTAATGACTACCGATGAGCACGCAACTGAGACATGTTTAAATTGAAGCAGGAGCGCTAAGCAACTAAACCATTGGATGCATATCACATTCAAGACAAGAATAAGAGCAGATTGGCAAAAGACTTAATTAAGCCTTTTGTAGCAGAACAGGAAGATTCAGCACAAAGAATTCGAAATCCGGTCAGTGCATAGGATCTTGAGTCTGTTCCATGCAGCTCTTAGACTCGTAACTTATTATCCCTCAGATATGTGTTGATACTGTCACGTATTAGGGGTAGACGTGACTAATAATAATGTGATTTGTCTCATTCTGGTCCGTCACACTATTAATTACAAAGTATGTAAGATTTGAGGCTTTCACGGCGGTGACTATGAAGAAAGCAGTCTTCTGGGATTTGGCACCATGTATATGTGGTGTTAACCGACGTTTCGGAGGAACGTCGGTTAACACCACATATACACAGTGCCAAATCCCAGAAGACTGCTTTCTTCAATTACAAAGTCGATAACTTTCAGTCCAGTATGACAGTGTTGTAAACCTGTATGTCATACTGGACTGAAAGTTATCTACTTTGTAATAATAAGGGGTTCTAGATTTGATGATTGGGTTCATTGGCAATTCTTCACAATTACACTTGATTATAACAGCTCACCTATTGAACTCCCTCTTATCGACGTCTGTCTGGCGAATCTCTCACTAATTTCGGACTGATCTCTACTACTCTTTTGACCTCTCTACTCCTCTACTCTCACTGGCTCGGATTCACGAACGCACTGCCTTTCATAACTTTAACACGGCCCTCATAGAAGACACCACGTCGAATAGTTAGTTGTCCTCTGTTGTCATGTTGGTTGTCACGTGAAACTTGCATTTAGGAACTTGTTACCTAGTAATGACTCCTTCGCTGTTATCCGTTGAAACGGGAATGTTATTTCTGCGCCGTTGTTCAGCAACGGACGTCTGGCTCTGGCTCTGGCTCCACTATTCCAGGTTTCAGCCGTTACGTCACAATATTATTATCTCTTCTCCTTTTCGTTTCCTCTTTTCTAAATTGTTAATCTATCAAAATTATCTAAACATTTCTTTCTTCTCCATCCGCGTTATTATATATGGGGCAGCCTATAACAATCTACCTTATTTCGCTAACGTAGCAGCTCTATGCGCCCTGTATAGACCATTAAATTTCTCATGATGAAATATTCCAAATTGCCCACTCATTCCATGGGTTTAAGCCCAAATAATTTCCTCTGCAGCTCGTCACCCAAAGCAAACGTCG